TCCTCCTTAGGGGCGGGTGGCAGGGGCAAAAAGAGGCAGGGCTCCGAAACCTGCCCACACGCGCGTGGGACGGGCGAGGGCTCACATGTCTGTCCTGTCTCCGCAGGGGACCCCGCAGGGAGAACCCGGCAGAATGAGGAAGTTCTGTGTCTGGTTCTGACACCATGAAGGGCTACCATGGGGAGCGCAGCCAATCACAAAGCTCCACAGGGCATCCTTGTCACTGCATCCCGGAGGACTGTGACCAGCCCCTGGATTACATCCGCCACGGCCAGGAATCCAGGCAGTCGTTCCTCCTCAGCCCCAGCGAGTCTTGTTCTTTGGACCACCGCTACTGCCCCTCTCGGAGCCCCGGGATCCCCGCCGAGTGCTCGGGCGGGCCGCTGAGCCTGAGCGAGCCGCTCTCCGCCAGCAGCAGCAGCACCTTCCCCAGGATGCCCCACCCGCTGCCGCAGTACGACTCCTGTGACGAGTGCATGGCGGCCACCCACCCCTCCAGCAAGATCAACCGCCTGCCCCCCAACCTGCTGGACCAGTTTGAGAAGCAGCTGCCGCTGCACCATGACGGCTTCCACACGCTGCAGTACCAGCGGGCCAGCACCACGGAGCAGCGCAGCGAAAGCCCCAGCCGCATCCGCCACCTGGTCCACTCCGTCCAGAAGCTCTTCGCCAAGTCTCACTCCCTGGAGGCGCCGGCCAAGCGGGAGTACAACGGCACCAAGGCGGAGGGCCGGGGGGACGGGCCGGCACGGCAAGCGGAGCAAGAGCAAAGACCGCAAGCTGGACTCCCGGCACCGGCCCAAGATGATGGGCTGGTGGAGCTCTGATGACAACCTGGACAGCGACAGCAGCTACATGGTGTCTGGCCGGCACGCCGTGGACCAGGCCACCCAGTACTGCATGGACGCGCCCGAAAGTGCCTTCAGAGACTTGAGCTTGAAGAGTCTCAAGACCGGGGGGGAGGGCAAGTGCCTGGCCTGTGCCGGCATGTCCATGTCGCTGGACGGCCAGACGCTGAAGAGGAGTGCCTGGCACACCATGACGGTCAGCCAAGCCCGGGAGGCGTATCCCAGCTCGGGAGGCAGCCAGGACAAAGGCTTGGCCCTTCCGGAGGCAAAGGCCAAAGACAGAGGCTACCATTACCTTCAGGTGAGGCGTGCGTTGGGGAGGGGGGAAAGCAGACCGGGGGAGGGACGCTAAAGCCTGCAGGTGTTAATTTTTGGCTCCCACACAGCCTGGCTGCAGTGTCTAGAACTCGGGTGGGGAACCCGTTTTGTGTCGGGGGCCGTTGACCCACAGAAAAATCAGTCGGGGGCCGTACTGAAGGACAAAGATGCTCCCCACATTCCCCTCGCACAGCAGAGCCTTGGGCGGGGGGCTGGGCTAGTAGATTTTGTGTGCTCCACCCCTGCAGTGGGGTGGCTGGGGGAGAGGCTTGGGGGCCAGATCCAGGCAAGCCGGGGGCTGCATCCGGCCCCTGGGCCTTAGGTTCCCCACCCCGGTTTAGAAGTCACTGGCTCTGCTCTAGCACAGAGGGTGACTGTCATCCCTTCTCGCTGGGGCTGGCTGCCATGGGAACGCCTGGGGGAAATACCCCAGTGCAGACAAGTCTCTGGGTGCTCCGTGAGCTCTGTCAGGGGCCTTCACCTCCTCAGCCCACAGGCTCGCCTTCCTGGGCCGGACACTGGGGCCTGAGCTTCGTACAAAGCCCGTTCCTTTCGCCCGGATGCCCCGCTGCCCGTGTCTCTCCTCCCCGTGTACACAACCCCCCGTGTGACTCGCAAACCCCTCTGTGAGCCCGGAGCCGTGGGCTGGCCGCCC